GACACCCCAGCTGAGCCCTTCCCCACCTCCTGCTTCCGTTTTGGGTGTCCTGGAAAAATGCTTGGCTTGGAATCACACAGACCTGGGTTTGAGTCCTGGCTGTTCTATTGACCTTCTGTGCAACCTCTCTGGACATGCATTTACACTCGTCAATCAGGGTAATGATAGGGCCCACACAGTGGAGGTATCACACTTAAACCATCCTCACTGTTGGCTGAAACACGCACAAAGGCCTTCTAAAGAGCCAAGTTTCTCTTCCTCCTACTAAACATTTCTGCCACATATACACACAGACCGCAGAATCCACTCCTTATTCCCTGAGCTCCTCACTTTTTCGTGTTCTATCCACCCTGCAGACTTGAAGGACAGATGCATCAAAACTGGTAGGAGGTGAGCCACACTGCCCCATAGCCGTGGTGAGCACCCGCAGGGGTGTTCTAGGCTCTAATGGCAATGCCCTGAGATACCAGGCTGCCCCTCCCTCATTATGGATGCACCCCATACACAGGCCTGCCTCAGCTTCTCTGGGAAGCTTGTACAGTGTGGTGCAAAAGCTAAAGGTTCACCCCAGGATACACCCCACACCCCATGGGGGCCAAGCACTGGATTCCGAGCAAAGGGAACAGGTCTGTCCACACAGCACTCTTTTTCCTCAGGGCACTCTTAATCAAGGCTTCCACATACACCCCAGCACTTAAGTAACCTCAGTCCCTTTTTTTTTCTTATACATATCGATAGTGGACAAAATACTGCCCTTCCCTCATCCACCCAAATGTGTAGCAACAATCAAAAAATATCAAAGGACCTATTGCATTGGGCAAATTTGCCTCCTTAAAGTGCTAACGAGCGAGGATGTCGGTGTAAACATTAAGATGTGCCTGATCCAAGCTGTGTCATTTTTAATGATTTCCTGTGCATCTGAAAGTTTGGCAATGGATAAAGAAGACTGAAGAACACCTGATGCCTTGAACTGTGTTGTTGGAGAAGAGGAATGAACAGCCAAAGGAATGGGATTGCCAAAGGAGCAAACAACTACATCTTAGAGGAAGTGCAATCAGAGTGCTCCTGGGAGGCAAGGATGGTGAAACTGTCTTACATACTGTGGGCATGGGAAGAGGGGCCGGTCCTAGGGAAAAGACATCAGGGAAAGTTCAAGGATCAATGAAATAGAGGAAGAGCTTCAGTGAGACGGATTAACACAGTGACTGCAGGATGTGGTACAGGATAGAGCAAGGTTCTCATCTGCTATGGATGGGATTGCAGTGAGCTTATAGGTCACTCAGCAGTGCCCCATACAACAATCTCCCCATACCCATGACAATGTTATAGCACACGATAAGACAGAATTAAAACTGCTCATTAGATGTTCTTAAAATGCCACTATCTTGAATTACATGAGTGAGCCTAACTGATCATAACTGGGGAAAGGAGGTAGGAGAAAGCCATTGCCAGAGAGAGATTTCAAAACTCTAGTTGTTGAGATGAAGGGAGGGGCCGCTGCTCCAGGAATGCAGGCAGCCTCCAGAATCTGGGAAAGACAAAGGGACAGCTTCTCCCCTGTAGCCCCCAGAAAGGTACATAGCCCTACAACACCCTGATTTTAGCCCAGTGGCACCCATTTCAGGTTCCTGACCTGCAGATCTGTATGATAGTATTTTTTATGTTGTTCCAAGCCAGTTTGTGGATAATTTGTTACAGCAGTGAAAGAAAACTTTGTTACCTAGCTGAGACTGCCCCACATGTCTCTGATAACAAACTCTTGTTGTGTACACCTCTTTACTGTTTATAAAGCCCGTGTGACATACTCAGAGAAAGTCTCCTGATTTCTCCAGAGCCCCAGGCAGTAAGACTCAGCCAGCACTAGAACTGACTCCATTAATATAAATGTGGCCCACCCCAGTGGGTGGGAGTGCCTCCCAGGGAGACCTATCTGTGTCCTTGCTTCATATGAGACCAGCACAGGGCCCTGTCCTGACAGGTTCAGATAAGCAACCAATACAAACACTGAGTTGCTTTAAATCAACTCTAACTCTTGGCGGATAGAACTGTGCTCTGTGGTGTCTTCTGTGAATGATATTTCAGAAGTAGGTCACCAGGTCAAGGAGTGGGGGGAATTCAAACCACCAACCTTTCAGTTATGCATCTGGGAACATTAACCGCTGTAGCACCTAGGGAATACACACATATACACACATGTGCAAGCACATTTATGTGTGTGCCATTTAAAAAAAAAATTATTTCCTATTGTGAAGTCAGGAGTCTGAAGGGAACCAAAGGCTTTAGAATTTCAGCCTTTCCACCCATCTGTGTGATATTTCACAGTTCCCCCTGCACCCCTACACTTGGCCCACACAAATGGAAATGGGATACGCAAGTTGAAAATAGATAGAATTCTGACCCATTGTTGGAATTGCCCCCAATGTTCTGGAATAATCTGTGCTTAAATTACAGAATTGGAAAGAAATTTGCTTTGCAAACTTTCACCTAAACTATAATAAAATACTAGACGAGGGGGTGGTGTGGTATGGGGGGAACCCTGGCCAGAGCTGCTTCCATCTGTACAGCCAGCCCTGGACCCCAGACCTGTTCAGGTGGCCTCTGCAGAGTGTGAGGGGGACCATTTTCCAGGGTTTTTGGTGCTCACCTGAGCCATGTGCTAGGCTCAGAGCCTGAGAGAGCTCCTTCCATGTACATCTTAAGCTTCCCACTCATGCACTCCAGCCCCCTTCTTGGCTATGTGCTTTCTATGCAACACCTGTATTTATCCCGTGACACCCCTTCAAGCTGTACAGCAACTTTTCAGATGTGTGTTTGGAGGATTGTTATTGTTACCTGCTGTTGATTCAAGTACAACTCACAGCATCCCTGTGAACAACTGACCTTAGCCCTGTCCTATCCTGCACCTCGCTTATCTCTGACACACTGGAGCCCACTGCTGCTCTCACTCTATCAATCTATCTCACTGATGGTCACTCTCTCTTCCGCTGACCTGGGTTGGGTCCACAGCTTCAGACGCTTATCCTACCCACCCATGCAACCAACAAGCATGTGATGCAGCACATGTGCTGTCCAGTCTAAGTGCTGTGAGTACAGCTCCTGTGGGAGAGACTGACAGATCCCACCAGCAAATAATGGGCCCAACCACTCGAACAATGAGCCAGCCAGCCAGTGAAGAAACCGCAAAGCAGCAAGCAAAGTGAGATGGGAGATTCAGATGGGTAGGGAGGTTTAGGAAAAGCCTTAGAGGATGTCAAGGAGAGTCCCAGGGGTTTCTGGGAGGCAGGGCTAGGAGGGAGCAGGGGAAGCAGTTTCCAAGCATGGACATTTCTTGGAGTGTTTCCTTGTGTCGTAAGGAAATGTCTTAAGTGCCCACAGCTGCTTCCTATGCTGAGAAAGTCTAGAAAAGAGGCTTGTGGTCAAGCTGGGCCTGTGAGAGGTGAGCCACTCATCACAGAGCCAGCTGTGATGCAGGAGAGATTTGAAGGAGGGGATCCCGGGAAGCTGTTCACTTATCCTCTTCCTCAAATAGTTCTGCTGAACCTTGGGACCTCCACAGCTGGTTGGGCAAGGACCACCCGCGCTTCCTCCTGTCTCTGGAAGCCCAGTCTCCACCCGGTCCACTGTGCAGGGAGCCCCAGAAAGGAACAGATCATCAAAGTCTGCTCATGGCTTCCTCCCCACAGCCCTTTCCCTCCCACGGCAACACCTGATGGAAGCCGCTCCTGGGCCTGGAAAGGGTGGGCTCTGGAGTCCGCTGGACAATCCCTGCCTCCTGCAAAGATGCCCATCGTACAGATGCGCAAACGGAGGCCAAGCCAGCCACAAATACCACGCAAGCAGCCAGAGGACGAGCGAGATCCGGGCTGGAGCAGCTGGACGCTCGCTCTCCCTCCTTCCGAAGCCCAGGGAGATGTGAGCCCAGCGCTGGGAGGCTCGCGGTGCGCCCGCCCCCAGCCTCAGTCTTCCAATTCGCAGCCCGAGTGCGGTGGGCGGCCCTTCTGCGTGCGCTCTCTGACCTGCACTTCGACCTCGCCACTGCTCCCGGACTGCGCCCAGGCCGGCCCCGCCCAGCCGCCTCCATTCACTCGCTTAGGGCTCAGGGCCGTCGAATTAATATCCAGATATTAAGTAAACAATAAATTAGCAAAACTACAAGAAAATTTTACAGCCCTTTGCATTTGGCAATCATTGAGTGTTAATTAGAAATTCATTACAATTAAAACCCTGCCTAAACAGGGCCTGCGCGCCTTAATTACATCTGATTTTTAATTCAGAATACGTGTTTACACAGTAAGCGCTACGTACCCCATGATTATCCCCAATCCTCTTTATACTGTACTAATTATGTAAATTAAACCTAATTAACTGACGAAAACTGCCGTTAATTCAACTGGTAAAAGATATGTGCTTGCAGGGGAGGCGCGGCCGCCCAGCCCGAGCCCCAGCCCGAGTGGGCAGCGCTGGCCGCGTGGACACAGCCCGGGACCCGGAGGCAGCGCGAGGCCGCCGGCGGAGGGGGATCTGGGGATCTCGGCCACTGTGCGGAGAAAGAACGCGTGTTAATGGGGTCCAGGGGCAGAGGGCACTGGCCGGGTGGCTCTCCGGATCTGGACGTGCCTGGCTGCACGAGGCAGACCATCCCCTGGGGAGAGAAGCCCTGTCCATTGCCCTCGGAATTTGGGTTCGAGGTCCACCCCTGCCAGTCACCGACTGCCGGACCCTGCAGAGTTGACCTGGCCCCTCCGTGGCCTCTGGCACACGGCACTGGAAAGGAGGCTCTTGAGAGCTGCGCGGGGCACACACTCCACCCCTTACCCTCTGCAAGCGAGGCCCCCCCGGAAAGCATACATTTTGGGGTCTGGAAGATCAGGCCATGCTCTTTACTGGCGAAAGACCTGGGCAGGTTGGCTTCCACCGCCTGAACCTGTTCCTACCTGTAAAATGGGGCTAACTTTTTCTCCCTATTCCCTGAGCCTTCCTTAAAACCTGCAAACTGTACAATGAAAGTCGCGATATTAACCGACCAGACGCTGGTCCCAAGCAGGGCCTCTGCCTCTAACCCAAGACCGCTCCCCCAGCCCACTCCACGATCACCAGACGACGCGCGAGGCGCGACGCCTCTCCTGCCTCCAGTGTGTCTCGGTCGAGACTCAGGCTCGCAGCGCGGGGAGCTGTCCGCTGTCTGGTGCTGAAAGGGCCTCCCTAGGTGGCCTGCTTGTCCCCTCGAGAGGGTGCCCAGGGAGCTCCTGGAGGTCGGACTGCGGGCTACCCCCGAGGTGCTGGTCTCAAAGGAACCGTTGGCCCTCGCAGGCCACTAGAAGCTGGACAAGCAGACCCGGCCCAGGGAGACGGGCGCATTGGCTCCCACTCCCACCCCCTCACCCTTAGGGTGCCCTGACTCCTCTGCCCATCTTCACAAACCCACCACCACAATAAAATCCTGAAATGCCCCTAAATATCATTAAGAAGCGAATAATGATTACCGAAAGGGATTGTAATTATGGGTAGGAGAATTGACGTCGAGGAGCGGGGCCTGAGAACAGCTCTCGGACAGGGTCCTGTTTTCCCCGAGGGGCGGCGGGGGGGGGGTAAGGGGGTAACAGAGAACGACAAGTGGTGATGCGCAGAGCAGGGACAGAGGGGTGAAGGACAGCCAGCGGGGTGCGGGACTTCTTCTAGAGAAAAGGGGGAGAGGCGAGAGGGGGACAGAAAACCAAAACAATCAACACTTCAGCACCTCGAACAAGGCACTGTGCGAAGAACACAGGAACCAAGGTGGGAGGAAAGACCAGGCCTGGCCACCCCACTCTCCGAGGCCTAAGTTAGGGTGATCCATTCGCCCCTCTGGATCCTTTACTGGGGTCCTGCAAGCAAGGGGAGAAAGGGGGAACATGGAGAAGGAGTAGAGACAAGATCGCCCCTGAGGTCCAGAGCGCAGAGAGGGAGGGAGCCAGCAACCCCAAGCCAGAGGGGGCAGGGGCGGGGTCGCCCGCTCTGCTGGCCGCGGAAGATTTATGGTGTAGCCAGGCTTCCAAGGACAGGCTTTGCTCGCCTCTACCGCCGCCGCCCTAGCCGCTGAAGCCGCTGCGCCCCCTGCCCGGGCGGCCGCCGCGCCCCAGGCCATCCTTGCCATTATTAACTTCTGTTTGATTAGGGTAATTGTTCAAACTTGGGCTGGACAGTATGATTAATTACAGTTTAATTAACGTGTCCATTAAGGACACTAAATGCACGGGAGGGGGGAGTGGCCAAGGGGGCGCCAGGGTGCGGGCATGGAAGGAGGGGGTGCCATTGGTAACTCAGTGCGGGAGAGCTTCAACGCACAGACTCAAAGAGAAAGGGAGAAGATGGGAGCCCAAGAGATGGTGGGGTGAAGACTGGTGAGGGGACTGAGAGGAGACAAGCAGGGGAGGAAAGGAACGGAGGGGTAGGGGAAGAGAGGCTGCAGGTCAGGAGATTGAATCCCCGCTGCCCTGATCCGAGGTCCCCTCCAGCAAGGACTTGGTCCCTCGAGGGGAAAATGTAGAGGAAGTAAGTGCCCAAGGCCAAGGCCCCGGATCCCAGGACCTTCATCCAGTCCAGAGTTCTCCCGACGCTCCTCACCCAAGTCAAGGGAAGTGGGGTGAGGGGCTTTGCCCTTTACCAGCTAACACTCCTGTGCCATTTGGATCCTACTGTGGCCCCGGGTGGCCCTACTGGCTCCCCAGGACCACTCTCCTTCGTTCGCCCTGGCGCGTACCCGCTGCTTGAAAACGTAGCACCTCTCTGAATGCCCCGTCAGCTCTCGGCCCTCAGCCCCGTCACCAGCCCTGGTCCAGCCCGCTCTTGCCTCCTCAGTTAGGGCGCAAAGCCTCTCCAGTTCGTTCTGAGGGTCAAACTTTGCGGCCCCAGGGCCCCTAACCCCCTCCTGGCCCCTCGGGCAGGCGCGGGCCGCAGGTGCAGGGCGCGGGGCGCAGGTGTGCGGCCGCTTACCTGGGGCGCGCAGGCCTGGGGGCTGCGGGAGGCGGCGGGTGCA